CCCATACTCGTTATCAATCTGCATTTCCTAAAGAAAGTGAAGTGACATGTAAGCGAGTGAAGTGAACCGAGGAGAGGGAGGTTGACTACTTAGGAGGTTCCGAATACCAAATCCTCACTCGTTTCATGTCTTGGGCTTCTTTACTTAGTTTTAACTCAGTGTGTTTTTTTTTTGTCCGTCACTCGACCAATAGGTTTATCATATATGAGTCCAAAGGGTGAAGGAAGGAAAATTTTTGTGGGTATCCACATCCAACCCGCAGTGGATAGTGGTTAACCACTACCCACTGTGGGCGGGTTGTGGGTAGCATAATTCTATATTTGTTGGTGTGGTTACCCGAATGTTGGGCGGGTAACCACACCCACCTCAATTTCCACCCCTAGTTTCAACCATATGACGGGTCGTGATAATAATTTAATGAATATGGTTCTTGTTCATGATATGAGTCTTCAAGTAGCAAATGTGCAGAATATTTATGTTTTTGGCATGGGTGTGATTGGGGACTCTCATCTCACTCTCGATAATACGTTACATGTGCCGAAACTTATTCCCAACCTTGTATCGGTTGGCCAGGTTACTAACTATAATTGTTCTGTTGTTTTTGAACCCTTAGGTTGTGGTATCCAGGATCTGACGACAGGGAGGCAGATCTGGTGGGGGAGTAAGCAAGGTCACCTCTTTTACTTGGATTAATTGACATCAGCATCATCATCCGCCCCTTTGTGTTCTCCTTCGGTGTCTAGGTCGCTGTCATCTTCCTCCCCTCCATATGTCTTTTCTAGTTTAAATGATCAAACATTACGTCTGTGGCATTTACGTTTGGGACACCCACATTCAAGTTGGCTTCTTTCTATGGCTAAACAAAAGTTATTTGGTGATGTTTCGGTTAATGACTTGGCTCAGTTTTCTTGTACTAGTTGTGTAGAGGCTAAGACTACTGCGTAGCACTTTTCCGTCTAGTACCACTATTATGAATGATCTGTTTCATCTCATCCATACAGATCTTTGGGGGCAAAGTCCCATCCTTTCTCGTCATGGCTATGGTTATTTTGCCCTATTTATTGACCATGCTACTCGCTTCACCTGGGTATATTTTTTGAAGCTTAAATCTGACCTTCTTTTTGTTGCCACTGATTTTCTCAAGATAGTTTAGACCCAGTTTGGTTCCCCTGTCAAAATTATACGGTCGGACGAGGGAGGAGAATTTGGCTACACTCCTCTCCAATCCCTTTTCGTTCCTTGGGTATCCTACCGTAGAAAGCTTGCCCAAGTGTGTCCTAGCAGAATGGTGTGGTAGAACGTAAGAACAGGCACGTCGTTGAACTCACCCGAGCTCTCTTATTAGCCTCTCATGTCCCCTCTCATTTTTGGCCTGAAACAATTGCTACTGCCGTTCATTTTATCAACTACCAAATTCTCCTACTCTTAATCACATCGGCCCATATTTTTCTCTCTATAAGTCCCAACCTAATTACTATGGTCTCCGGGTTTTTGGTTGCCTTTGTTTTGTTCTTCTCCCTCGAAAAGAACGTACTAAATTAACCTTTAAAACCTCCCATTGTGTATTTCTCGGTTACAATGATGTCCATAAAGGGTACCTTTGTTTTGATCCTAGTTCACAACGTCTTAGGGTCTCCTATGATGTTGTCTTCTTTGAAAATGTTATGTTTTAAACGTCGTGTAGTCCTTCGTCTTCTTCATTGTTATCTTCTGTAGTTCTTCTCATATTTTTCGTCGATGATGATGTTGATGGTGATGTCCTCCTCCCCACGATTCGCCTCCACCACCACCTTCATCCCCTACGGCGCCTCCTATACTCCGTCACAATTGGCCTTTGTATCAGCTCGATGTCAAGAATGCATTCCTGCATGGTGATTTGAAGGAGGTCGTGTACATGGAACTTCCTCCAGATTGTCCTTGCAGGTCAAAAGATGAGGTCTGTCTACTTACGTCGGTCACTATATGGGCTTAAGCAGGCCTCTCGCGCTTGGTTCGATAAGTTTCACAGTACCATTATCGGTTTGGGTATGCAGCAGAGCTTGAATGATCTGTCCCTCTTCACCAAGTCCACCTCACATGGGTAAGTGGTTCTTTTGCCATATGTTGATGGTATGGTGGTGACAGGCGATGATTTCGTTGGTATTGAAGAGCTTACTGCGGGGTTACGGTCATCTTTCAGCCTCAAAGAACTCGGCTCTCTTTCTTATTTTTTGGGGCTGGAAATTACTCGGTCACCTCAAGGTATTCTCCTCAGCCAACCTAAATATGTTGATGATCTACTTGAGACTGTGGGCTTCATGGATTGTCGATCGGTGCTCACACCCATGCAACTGAATATAAAGTTGGGCAAAGACCTCGGCGCCCCATTACAGGATGGTACTCAGTATCGCAGCCTTGTGAGTAGTTTGAACTACCTCACCCATACCCGCCCTGATATCTCATACGCAGCATTCTCAGTCAGTTTATGAATTCTCCACATGACGTTCATTTGCAGGCTTCTCATCGGGTTCTTCCGTATCTTTCGGGCACAAAGACAGTCAGTTTATTCTTTCTTGCTCGCCATGATGACACCCTTAGCGCTTATTCTGACTATGATTTCGCAGGGTGTATTGATACTCGTCGTTCTACGACGGGATGGTGCATCCGATATGGAGATTCCTTTGTTTCCTGGCATTGTAAGAAGCAAGATAAAGTGTCCAAGAGCACTACCGAAGTTGAATATCGGGAGATGTCAGACGTGGCTTCTGAACTTATTTGGTTGTGGCGATTGTGAGGAGAGTTCGACGTGATTGGGTTGCAGGCTATGGATTTGTTCGTGGATAATACGAGTGCCATACAGATTACCATGAGCCTGGTTCTTCACGACATGATGAAGCATATGGAGGTTCATATACACTACATTCGGGATCTTGTTCGTGATGGCGATGTTCGACTACACTACATTACTACTGCAGAGCAGATAGCTGATCTTATGACAAAAACTTTCACTACTGCTCGTCATTGGTACTTATCTAGCAAATTACTGCTCCGAGATCCGCAACAATTTGAGGGAGGTTGTTAATCGTAGTATAGCCCATCTATATGTAGGCCCATGTAGTGTACATAGTAATTGTAGTAGCTGATAGCCCATGGTCAGATTGTAATCCTAATTCGGCAGCTAGGGTTACGTAGTGTATATAAACTCTTGTAACCGGACGTACGAGGCAACAAATACGAGCATCTCCTTCCTGTTAGGGATGGCAATGGGGCGGGTTTGTCTAAACCATCCCCATCTTCAAATACCTAAACACATACCCGCCTCATACCCATGCGGGGGAATGTTTTGCAAACCCATCCCCGTGGGTTTCGAGTACCCATGGGTAATACCGGTACACGTACATCCAACATTATTATACCTAAAACTTACAAGAATTTTTTTTAATTATAACTCTAAAAGAACCTATTATATCATGAAGTCAACAAAACACGATCATTTTCTTAATAAGGTTCAAAGTATATGATCCTAAAACATCCATTAATACATAATATAGAGTATAATATTTTTCAAATTATTATCTTCTAACTCTGATACATCTACTAAGTAATAATTAACTAACATAATCTTGTTGACAAGGGGGAAAGTGAAGAGTGAAAGGAGAATTGAGGGAAATAAATTAGATTTTGATTAAAGTGGTCACTCAATTGCATTTCTACTATTTACTTCCTCGAGTTCTCCTCATCACCATTGATAGATTACAATTTAATCCACATATTTTTTTATATGTGAAGAAATTCTCTTGGTGGGGCGGATATGGGTATGGGTATGGGGCGGGGGAGGCCAAAACCATAACCGCCCCATACCCATCAAACTTTTTGCGGGTTTTACACATACCCGGTCAAAGCGGGGATTCTCCGCGTTGACTGGGCCGGGGGCGGTCGGGTACCCGCGGTCATGGGTTTGATTGTCATCCCTACTACCCGTGGACTAGTCTGCATTACATCCTGCGATACTGGAAACCACGTAAATTGTCTTGTGTTAGTGTTTATGCTTTGCTCATTATAGGTATGATTCGTAATCTTAACATGGACCAGCTGCTCGAGGAGTTCTCCACCTCTTATGATGACTCAGAGTCAGCCCAGAGGGCACCATCAACATTCTTGGCCACCGCTAAGTATCCCTGCTCTAGAGATACACTATGATGGATCATTTTTACATGATTCCCAGAAGGTGACCTATGATATCGTCATCAATAAAGACCAATGACAGATTTGTGATGGACGGGCTGACTCTTTTCTTTGTTCTACCCCGATCGAAGCTGAGGTCAAGGCTATGCTAGAAGGTTTGAAGATCGCTTAAGAGTTTAATGGACCGTGTGTGCTTTGGTCTGATTGTGAAGTCCTGGTCAAAGCAGTGGCTTAGAAGCCGAATTCTTGGTCGTGGAGATGTGCTGCAACGTTGGATGCTATGCAGTTTATTATTGCCTCGACACCTCAGATTGTAATTCCTAAGATTCCCTGTCGTCTTAACTTCAGAGTGGACTGGGTTGTACGATCGCAAGCTCATAGTTCTCTCCCACATGATTGGCTTACGATTTTTTATGTAATTTCAGTCCATGTCAGATGGTTGCTGCTTGTAACTTTTGATTGGGATTGAATGAAAGATCCACATATTGTTTTAAAAAAAAAATGTTGGAGTTTTCATTGTAACTTCATGGCTTGAAAACCTTCGTTGCGAGGAAGGATAGATGGCAGTTTGTTTTTTTTCTATCTCCCGAAATTGCCCCACCAAACTTGAATCACAATGTTTTTGTTTTCCCCTAGTCGCACCCACCACATTTGATGATCATTAATGGACTTTGATTCCAGAGTAGTTTACCCACTCATTATTTGGATCATTCAATTTGACTTGGAATCTTTAACACACTTCCCCGAAACAAAAGAAAACTTCAACATATTTTTGAAGAATAAATGAAAAAAAAAAACAATTCAACAAAGTGGCAAAACAAAAGACAATTTGTGAGCAAAAAGAATCGGGGCATAAACCTCGTGCCGAAATAGAAGAGAAAGGATAATGAGTAGAAAACAAAACCCCACTTGACACTTGCGATTCCTGCTTTCCATCTTCCAATCCAAACGTCAGTCGGTGCCCTGAGGGTGCGGTTGGCTGTCTGGCTGGCTCTACATTTTCCCCTCATCCACCTTTGCCCCACCACCACGCCCCAAGAAGAAGCTTTCCTTACCTTGTTATTCCTCGTCCTCTCTCTTCCCTGTTTCCTCTGCCTCCTCCATTCCACTCCCATCCATTTCTCTCTCTCCCTCCTTCCACACGAAGCAACAAAAAGAAGAAAGACCAACCCACCACCAGAGAAAAAAGAATCCAACAGAAATCGGCCACTAAACCAACCATTTCTTTTCTTTTCTGTCAGTAATTGTTATTCCAGGTTTTTGTCCGTCAACTGTAATATGGAAAGCGAGACTGGTCATTCTCTGTTGCCCGACGACCAAGTCAAGCCGAACCCACCTGCTGCTGCTGCTGCTGCTGTTCCACCTCCGGATTCCGCGGCTGAGAAGAAGAAGGTTACGGTGAAGGAGGAACCGGCGGCCGTGGAGGAGGAGACCAACGACGGCGGTGTGGCTGTGGGATCTTGCACTGACGGCTACTCCAGGTTTCCCCAATTTTCTTCCCCCCTTTCCATTTGACGTTTTGCTTTCTTCTTGGGTCTAAACTTGGTTAGGAATTTGTGGGGTGCAAAAATTGAAAAACCAGTTGTAGGAGGTGATTAGAGTTGGGGAAGTTGACTGTAGAAGGAGAATAAGATCTGATGAAATCCCCGAAAGGGTAAAGAAACCCTGGAATTTTGTTTTAGTTTTATTAATGACGAAATCGAGCAAGGAATTGGGTGAGTCGCGATTTTTTTTTCTGGTGGTGTTTAAATGAAGATCTTTGATGGGCTTTTAATGATGTACTGCTTCTGGGAAAGGATTTCTGGAACTTGATGGGAGGCAAAATGTTCGATGCTGTCTCTGTCTTTGCTCCTTCCATTCCTTTCTACGACAACAATGGTATTGTGGGGGCAGAATTGATGGCTAGATTTATTTTTCTTACAACTAGATCTAGCTAGGGAGGTACACCATCCTACTCTCAAACAAAATGGCTTCTCCTTCGTGTGCTTGGTAGCTCTTTTGTCTATGGCTTTCTGGGTAATTTCTGTGTCTAGTGATGCATGAGAAAGTCCGGGGCAAGTAAAGGTTTTACAGAAATCTGAAAAAATGTGGCTTTTGTTTGTGACTGGGTTTTGGGTGTATACACAAGCTTATTTTGTATTCTTCTGAAAAGTTGTTTACCTAGAAGTTTCAAGTGGGTAGGGCTGGTGGGGAATTATTTCATTAAGGAAGTTACTGGTGCTTTTCACAGCCACTTCGCCGAGTGAAGGATTGGGACAAATTGAATCTCTTGTATATCATAACCAAGCAACTTCATGGAATTAGTGAGTGATTTTCAAACTAACTTGTCCATGGGATTTTGGCAGGGCTGCTACAGCTGTGGCGAAATCCGGAGCAGATGCTTCTGTCCCCGGGCCAGAACAGCTCACCATATTCTATGGTGGAAATGTGCTTGTGTTTGATGGAATTCCGGCAGAAAAGGTTTGGTTTTTCTTTCACTGTCGGAAACAGTCGTCTAAATGCTCACTAAGTTTATAAGGATGGAGGGCCGCAATTCTTTCTAGCTCTAGCTAACTCTTTTTCCTTTCAACTGGTTGCTTTGTTAGGCTCGTGAAATAATGGCTATCGCTGCTGCTGCGGCACAAGCTGTGAAGTCTGCTGATATCAAGAAGATCGAATCAGGACCTGCACCAGCTGCTGCTGTTCCTGCTGTTGTTGCTGCTGCACCAGTCCTCTCTAGGTCTCCTTCAATGCAAAGTACCTCTAGTGCATTGGCCTCTCCGCAGTACGCTGCTCATAAAAATTCTCTCTGCAAAATGCAAGCTGGTAAGTAGTTCATGGAGTTAAACTGGAATGTCCTGCGTATTAGCTATGAATCATAGCAAAGTCTAACAAATGTTCTCTTCTATTGTCTGTTGTGTTGTTTAGATCTGCCAATTGCAAGGAGGCACTCTCTCCAGCGCTTCTTTGAGAAGAGAAGGGACAGGTAGCTGTTAGACTGGTTGTTTGATCATTACCGGCTTTGTGCTGTTGTATTTTGACTTGTTGCTGCAATGGTGTTTCCTAAACCTTTTGCTGTAGGATGATGAGCAAGAGTCCCTACTCTATTCCTTCATCTCCATCAGCAGCTGAGAACATGAAGCATGATTCCAACAACTTGCTTACAGCCGAGCATCTTCAGCAAACGCTGGCTGCTGCAGCTCCGAACAATGCTTGATTGACTTGCAAGTTGTTCGAGGAGAAGAATCATTATCCTATTATACTATCATCAGCCGAAATATATATATCGTTAACTTTGTGTTATCTTATGACATTAGTACAAAATCGCTTGTATGTGAACCACCAATTTGACAAATCAGACAAACGAACAAGACGCTGTTTGTTGACTGTGAACCTCTCTATGTCTAATTTAGTTCTGAGTTGTGTTGTAAGGTGTATCCCTGTAAAATGTGTTGTTGCCTTAAAGCATGCACTTTATATAATCACATGTTCATGTATGTCCGGCTCTCAAAGAACTGAGGGCAGCTTACAGCTTCGTCTTACTTCCAACTTACAAGAGAGTTTAGGCCGCTTTCCATTTGAACAAAGACGAAGGTATTCCCGCATGCTGCTCTGTTGCCTTGCTAGCGCAACAAATTAGCCGACCAACTCACAAGCGTTTTGAAGCACAATTCGTGAGAAGTTCTTTCGACAATTGGCTCATTTACAAGCCGAGTGTTAGCTAAATATTGTTCTATCTCATGAGATTTATAAGTAAGATCGACTCATAAACTTGTTGTACCTGTGAGTTGACTCAACAGTATTAGCTAGACAGCCACTCATGAGTGTATTTATTATCGGGTAAATGACACATTTGGTCACTGAGATTATTAAATTGTGTCATGTTTAGTCACTAGAAAAATTAATATCAATTTTGGTCACTCGAATTACCGAAACTGGTCAAATTTAGTCACTCTCCCGTCAGTTTCCGTCCAACTCCATTAATGTAGTTGGACGGAAACTTTTGGGAGAGTGACTAAATGTGACATGTTTCAGTAATCCGAGTGACTAAATGTGACATTTTTCAATAATTCGAGTGACCGGAGTTGGATAGAGGCTACAAAAGAGTGACCAAATGTGACCTGTTTCAGTAATTCGAGTGACCAAAATTGATATTAAATTTTTCTAGTGACTAAATATGACACGATTTAGTAATCTCGATGACCAAATGTGTCATTTACCCATTTATTATCTATAGTTTATGAACAGATCTTGAACAGAGCTCATGAGCTAATTGATGACCAGAACTCAACTAAAACTCTCGAACTCATTGATGAGTCAACCTTGAATTGTACTCGAATCAAATAGAAATCAAGATTTTAGTAAACGAACTGAACTCAAACTCGACTAATTTATTAACGAGCAAAGTCTGAACAAGGCCAAACTCAAACTCAACCCATCACTGAAATTGTCCACATACAAACTATGAAGAACTAGCGAGTGCGCAGTCCTCATCTACATTGCCAAAGTCCAAACTCCAGAGTCCAGACCCATACTATGCTAAAAACATAAAAACGGATGCAGCCTAAAGAAGGAACAAAAAAAGGAGTCTGCAAAAACATCTGTCTCCCGTTCTGCAGCATCATCCGGAAATAGAGTGTCTCGACGAATCAATGCATGCTGCGTAGGATTCCATGGATGTACCCACCGGTCATCACTACCGACACAAGGGATACAACACCTGCAGGGAAGACCTTCTTCGACTTCATGAACCGCGAAGCCATCACCCCGGTAAGCACAGAAGCCACACCTGCAGATTCCCGGACAGAAAACAAACCACCAAGCACTTCAGGTAACTGAACTCAGGCAGGTAATAGAGCAGTCATGTGAGTCCAGAACCAGAAGTACTACATATCCATTTGTTGCCTTACCAAGCCCTATGGATGATGCATAAACAGGGTTTGTTGGAAGCTGAGTGTACACATAATACAGCGCTGCCGCAGATAGGCCGCCTGCCAGGAGTGATTTCTGACTACCACTTTTCATATACCCCATCAGACCTCCCACTGCCACATAAACAGTCGGTTCAAAGTTCAAACCCAATACACAAAAGAACAAACCAAAAACTTGGGTCAGTGCCCAATCATCTAGTCAAATAGCAATCATATCTCAATGAACTCTCAAGGTTAATCAATTTAGAACGAGCAATCAGACACGTTCCATGTAATGCAGTCAAAATCGTGATTCTACATAGTAGTGTTTTGGTGATCTAAAAGCGTAAAAACGTAAGCTTTTAAAACATAGATTTTGACTACACTTGTAGGGGGAAACCGCGATTCTACGTAGAAGCGTTTTGATGATCTAAAAGTGTAAATGTGTAACCTTTAAAGCAAAATTTAGACTACATTGGTTCCATGTTAATCTAGGCAATGTTAAGTCTAAGCACGTCACGGGTTTAGGCCCTAGATCTTCTGTGCTGTCAGAGCGCCCTGCGATTTGGGCTAATTGTAAACCCTAGACCGGTAGGTGAGATAAAAGGTTATCATAGCAAACTAGAGAAGTGTTCTCCGATCATAATCCAAACCAGAGATTAAGCTATCAGTATAACACCTAGAAAAATTGAAGCTTAGAAAGAAAGGAGGAGCTTTACCTCCAACAAGAGCAGCATAACCAAGAGTGAGCTTCTGAGACATGGACAAAGCCATCTTCTTCTTACTACTATCCTCCGAAGATCCTCCCTCGCCTTCGTTACGACTATCGCCGCCGCCTCCTCCGCCGCCGCCTCCTCCTCCTCTTCTGCCGTTATCTCCTATATCACCGTGATTGTCCCCTCCGTCTCCGTTATCTGGCTCAATCTCAATCCCTTGGGTGGACAGGTCAACGTTGTCGGTGATGATCGTCGAAGTCTGGCTGTCCGAAGAGACGATAACCCTAGAGACGAAGATCGGACGCTTGAAATGCAGGCTTTTCGGAAAACTCAGAAGCTGGCAGCGATACCCCAGAGAGATCGAGGGGGCGGCGGCCGGAGCTCGGAAGCGGAGCTTGGAAGAGTGGGTGGGGAGGAGGTGGGAGGAAATGGAGTGAGTGCGAAATGGAGCTAACTCGGCCATTTTTTCTGGTTTCTGCCCGGGTCAAAGTTTTGGTGACAACTCGCTCGCCGCTTTGCCTACCGCTCTGGTTTTACGTCTTTACCACAAGGGCCCTTCGGATCGGAGGGAGGTTCGAGCTAGAGTGTCGGGTCGTCATTGACTGGGCCGATTACAGGCCCATATAAATAGACATGCTTGTCTTTTGAAGCCCAATCATGGGACCGAATATCCGGATCTGCCCCAATCCAAACCGGACATTAGCGTGCCAAAATCAAATGGTATAAGGCCAATGCTATGGTGCCGCTCTAAAAAGTGCGGCACCGGTGCCGCTGCATCTGATTGGACCACATGGAGCTTACGTGGCATGAGCTGGCTTTGATTGACCCAAGCCCATATTCCATGAGTAATGGGTACTCGAACCAACCCGTCCCTCCCATTCAAACAGAAAATCCGTCTCCGTCAAATCCCAAACGATTCTATTTTTTTCCCGATTGTCGTTATATCTTTATTAATTAAATGTAATTAGTTTGTTTTCCAGAAGATTGAGAAAACTGTATCACCAAAAAAAAGATTGAGAAAACTGAAAAACGGGGGGACGGCGATGGACGATCCGAAAGGATGTTCGTCGATCTCCTTCTCCGTCGTTCTCCCAAAATCGCGCTGGTGATTTGTTCGCGGCCGATCCCATCTCCATCTCCATCTCTGGCGTTCTCCCTAAATCGCGCCGGTGACTTGCTCGCGACCGATCCCAACTCCATCTCCGGCGTTCTTCCAAAATCGCGCCAGTGAATTGTCTGCGGCCGATCCCATCTGCAAAATTATCCGGTGAGTTGTTCATAGGCGAAGAAATTTGTATCTTCGCGGGCCTCTGTCACCATCGAAAAGCGCCCCCGCCAAATACCGGGTCCAATTCACAGAAGGGGAGAAACACCCTCTTTCACCGGCGGTCGCTCCAAAATTACTACGTCACTTGTTCGTGCTCGATCCCATCTCTTTCTCTGTTTGGTCGTTTGTTTTTCTTGTGTTATAAAGGAATGGAAGTGGGCTAATTTCTCCTTTAGAGTGATTTCAAAATTGAACTTGGCGTAATCATCTATTTACAAAAATGAAATTAGATCCCTTGTGCTCGGATAGGAAGCATGCGGTAGTGAACTGGATAGAAGGGAGAGGGAAGTCAGTGGGGTGTATGCTGTGATCAACGGAGACGTGGTCAAGAGGTACTGAAAAGTAGCATAAAGTCAATGGTTGAGCTTCACAAACTCAAGAATCTGGCAGGTTCATAACTTGCAGGGACTCTTGGTGGGTTCTATTCGTGGTATGAATCTCGAATGAATAAGTTGTATGTAGGGAGTTTTAATTCAATGCATCCAGATTGGTTATTGTGATAGTTTAGTTTAAGTTATTGTTCAGCGAGTAGAATATCTCCAAAGTTCTTCTTTCTTCCTGCTTTTGGCACGTGAATTTTAAAGCCACGATGTTAAATATTTGGCTACATTGCTGACCCTTGAACCAGCTGTGTTATAAGTTTATAACTCTTTGTGTCTTATTTGCTATGTAAATCTGTCCAGGGGAATTTGAAACTGATAACCACAGCTTGGGCAGCAGTTGGTTGTGAGCGGGAGGTTGCTAGAGTGCAGGTCTCGTGTGCTGGAGAGGCTACAAGATTGCTGAATGGAGAGGATTGACGGGTATGCCTCGGAGAGATTAGTTGTTTGGAGAAAGATCTAGCTTTTTATATTTTGTACTTTGGAGAAACCATATTTATCGTCATCCTTGCATATTCTGGAAATGGTTCCCTTTATTTCACCACTTTTTTTGTTTGTAAATGGTGATGCTAACTTGGAACTTTTACTCATGAAGCTAGAAAGAAAGCTGGGTAACTTCAACCAAGTTGCTATTTTGAGAAAAGGGAAGTAGCAGCTGCAACAAGTGCAATGGGAAGGAAACGGTAGCAGCAGGACAACATTAAAAGGCGGATGCTTGAATGTCAAACACGCATAGGAAAATGACGCTGTTGTATTTTAAGTAGTTTAGTTGCTAATTGACAGATGTCATGAATAGAGTGGTTGTTTATTGAATCAGTTATAGCTTATGCTAGTTAACATTCTGGGTTTTCCAATTGTGCAGTAGAAAATCCAGTTTAAGCCTTAGTATCTTCTCTCTGTGATGGCATTTAATATTGTGATGAATGACAAAGAGGATGAACTAGATTTTGAGCTCTCATTGTTTTAAAGTTACCAAGGAAGGCTTGCTGCGGGATGGGTGTCCTAAAGATTTCGTTCCCATGCTATTCAATGTCAGTGGGTACATGTACCAATTCATTTATGTGCAATTCAATGTCAACAGTAATAAGATCCTAGCTCAAATGACCAAATATGCATTCTCATTATAGATGCTATAGGAGTTTACATTCCAATGGAAGAATCTAACTCAGTTTATCAACCAACTACGCAAAACATCAATTTCATACAGCCTCCCAATGCTGCCACCAATCCCTCATTGCTTCCTGCACCTACTGTTTAACTTCATCCTCTCTCTCCATCAGCAAACAAGCTTGATCATCTTGACCTGCAAAAT